TATGCTTTGCATAATAAATTTTGAAAGTATGTTTCCATAAATAGGATCGAAATTCTTTTATTATAAAACGAAAACAAAGACAACAAACTGCAATGTTGATTCAAAGTTATAAGCTTTGGCAAATTTCAATTTTCAAATATTACTGTGATTTCTTTTTTTTATAGTTCAGCTTTTGAAACAAACTAGTACGCCATGCCATAATTGATTTACAATAATTACTAAATATAGTGTAATTTTTTCAGCAAATTTTACTATATTTAGTAATTATTGTTAACAAATTGATTGGCGAAATTGGTTTTTAATTAGCCAACAAGCCTTTTTCGTTCTGAATACGCGCGGGGCCCTGATCAGAAGTTATGATATATCGTGGTCTCTCAGATGTTCGGATGTATTTTATCGGGTCTTTTACTTAGTGGTTAGTCTAGAATTTCATTGGACCTTTTGGTTTATGTGCCTTAACCTTCTGTATTCTGTTAAAACTTCGTCGGTTTAAGGACATCAAAATTGAAGGAGAGTATTCTTACTGAGTTCTACGAGATGTATACTTGACCGTTTGAGAACACGTTTCATTGATCGTTAGGTGGTTTGCAGTGTGAACCTTGTGTTTTTGTGTACAGTTAATGCAAAGGCATTCTGGATTTGAAATTGGCGTCGCAATGCTGGAATACAATTGATGTTGAAGTATGATGTCATTTTTTGTATGTTGATTTTGGTTATTATCTGTCATAGGAAAGGTTATCTCCATATTTTTTGTCTGTGATTTTTGATACTACTCCGATGCTTCCATTGCATATTCCATGTTTGAAGAGATTATTGTTTAAGTACATCATTCATTCGCGACCTTCTTGTATTGTTATAGAGTTTGGTAGGTTGGTATTATTTTGAAATGAAGTGTCATTTTCATCGTCGATTATCTGGTTGTTGAGGATATCTATAGGTTTTGATATAATGATTTCTGGATTTTATTACTTAATAGTAGGTTTTCACAGATAAGGGAGTCAATTTCTTGTGCAGTTTCATGAAGGCTAACGATGTGTGGTGAGTTTATCATTGCATTTGGGTTGGTTGATTCAGAGATTTTTATGTTTATCATTGATTTGATTTTTCAGAGAGTTGTCTAAATCTCAATTCTTGGAGAAGTTTGTAGAAGTCTGAATCATTTTTTTGTCATTTTTGTTGTGATAAAGAAGAGAGGAAAAAATAGTTTCCAGATTGATAAGTAAATTATTTGCTGTCTGTTGACAACTAACTTACAGTAAGAATTGGAATTCCTCCAAATGATTTATGATTTTGTGTAGTAAACTTAATATGTGCTTATAACAGTGATGTCAAATGACATTGTCATTTAACAAATTTTCAAATGACTTTTAAATGACATCTAAATGATATAAGAATTACGATCATTTAAAAAAAATGTCATTTCAAATGACAAATGACAAAATGACATATGTCATTTTTTAAGTGACAATATCAATAACAATTGTCATTACTATTAATAAATTATTTAGTAACGCATTAAATAATTAACTTGTTAATCGAAACTCTAAAATAGTATTACGTTTTTTTAAATTTTAAAATCTAACTTAATAATGATGTTTAAGAATTCAAGAGATTCATGGAAAATTTATCGTTCGTTTGTTTTTTGCACTTTGTATCTTACATTTGATTCATTTTTTTCAAATAATATTTATATAATTTTTTATATTACTATAAAACTAAAATCGGAACCTAAAAATAAAGACTAAAATCCACAAACTGCTCCTCTATTAGTGGTAAAACCGCTGAAATATCAAAATCCCAAAAACTTGCAAACAGGTTTTCGGCATAGTTAGCAGGTCTGAATCATCCCTAAAGAATAAAAAGATAGGAACGTTAGCTGGCATTCCTGTAAATAAAACAAACTTACCACCCAAATTTACCATTCGTAGTTCTAGTCTCAAGAGTTGAAATTCAAGTCCAGGAAAAAAAAAAGATGAAAGAGAATAATAGTAATGTTCCCAAAGCAAAAAAGAATAAAAAAGTAAGCAAATAACTGACAGACTTACTATTTCGTAAATTCAGAGTCCAAAACGGCCCTAAAGTTTTTTCAGGTTCTTTTTTGTTTTTAAATTAAACCAGTTTTTTTAAAAAAAAAATCAGAAGCGGAGAGAATTTTTTTTTTAAAAAAAATATCTACAATTTTTAAGAAAAGATCGGTAAATCAGAATAAAATCTATAACCCGCAGGTTATAATTAATGCTGAAACTATGTATATAAATTTTATAACCGTTTAAATAATTCTGGCTAGCATTACAGATCACATGATATAATTTCAAATGACAAATATTATCTGTCATTTGCTCTCTGAAATGACATAATGATATGTGACATATCATTGAGATCATTCATGTCATTTCATGTCACTTTCCAACACTGGCTTATAAAAGTCAACAGTTTACCTGATACCATAGAGGTTTCTTCAATTATTGATTGCTTTTATTTTTAGCAGCTCTATTTTAGATTTTTTATCGTCTAAAATTAGTGTTTAATAATGATATTATATTGTCTAGTTTTGAAGACAGAGTGGATGGTTTTGCTACCTATATTTTTGATGGATATTTTATTTGAGGATAATAATATTATATTTAATTTTTTTTTGAATTAAATAAAATAAAAGTTGGAAAAAGAATTTTTTTTTCAAAATTTTTAGGATGAATTTACTAATAATTAGTATAAATTTGTTTCACTCAATTTGATTAATCATATAATTGTTAGTAAAATTGAATGCTTTATAGTTGTAGCTTACGAATTCATATTTATTGTTCTGTATGTAGCAATTTCTATTAGTGTTACATTACCAGAAGCTATTTCAATAAGGAAAATAATGGCAAATATAGATGTTATTTTTTTATTGCATTTTTCTTTTCGTCTTGTTCTTTTTTTTAGCTTATAAATAATTAAGAAAATACTTTATTTGTTTATTCTTTTTATTTTTTAGTTTGAAAGGTAATTTTTCATTTTTGATTATTTCTATTATTAGTTTAAATTTCAGTTTATTTTGGGATCTTATCTTATTTTTACTTAAATGGCACATCATTCATCTTTTTATTTTATTTGTTGTTTATTTTAGTCTAGTTTCTTAATACTGTTTTTTAGTATCTTTTGCAATATATTTTGTGAAGAATATTAATCATTTGTATATAAGAGCGGAAAAATTTTTTTATAGTAACTGCCTTTTTTTAGCTTATTTCTTTCTAAAAAAATCAGTTTTTTAAAACTGATGTTTTTTCTGGCTCATGATCATTTCAGAGCTGATTATTTCTAATAATTTCTAATAGTTTCTGAATAAACGAACATGATAATGATTAAAAACTATATAAAATGTTTTCTTTCTTGTATAACAGATCTATAACAAATATAGAAAAAGAAAATTTATATATAACAGGGAGGAAAATTATGAAAAAATATTTTTTCTTTGTAATTTTCCTTTCCTAGTACATACACTTAACCAAATATTTGATCATTCAATCATTTTTCAGATAGTTTAGATAGAAATTAAATCAGATCAAAAACAGACCAGAGCAGTTTCATGAAACTTGAGCTATTTTTTACATGTATAATTAACAAAAAATATTTTTTCTGAACAAGTTGATCTTCTTGATTAATTAATGTAATAGATCTGAAATTTTTAGCAAAATATAGTTTTAAAATAAATGATTTACAAGTTTACTTAATCAACCAAAAATATTTGATGTTAATGATAGCTAAAAATTTACAATAAAGATGTGAAATCTGAATATAATCTATTATTTACTTTTTTTTATAATGATTACTTTTTTTATGAAAATGTGACATATGAGAAATAAGTCTATTAAACCTTTTATATAATATTATAATGCATAATTTATTTATTAAAAAAAAAGTTTGATTAAATGTAACTTTTATATAACATTTCTATTTTAAGCTACCTGATGATTTTTGCTTCTCTACTGTATATATGTAAAGGTTGATTTACTACATGAAATATAAAATTTACTTTCTCCATTTTTTACTAAAACTTTTCTATAACACTTTTTATTGTTTTAAAAATAATTTAACATATTTAGTTTAAAGTGGCATTTTTTTTTCTTGTTATTTTCTTAAATACAAAAATATTGAATGCTATACTAGTTTAGGTCTTATACTGTATTATATTAATTAAAATTATAAAATATAATGCAAAGAAAATTTTATCAAATATTATATAATATAATTATATAATACAAACTATATTTATTATCAATAATAATAAATAATGTAATTTATATTTAATCATTATAATTTAATTTATAAATAAAAGTTTTTTGAGTAATTACAAATTGTATTTTTTATAATATTTACTCTGTATACAATGTTACTAAATAAATATTTTATAAAAATTATAATAATATGATATAATTATAAAAGAAAAAAAATATTTAATATATTTATAAATAAATTTAATTATTTTCATCTAATAAAAATAAATTAATAAATCAATTAAAATATATAGATCTAATTTTATGTTTAAATTACTTATTTATTTTATCATTTATAATATTTAAAATTCTATTAAATTAAAATATATATGTTAAATTAAAGAAATTATTAAATTATATATATATTATAATAATTACCAATACTTTGATTAATTTCTAAACCTTTAATTTCATGGTAAAATTTCATTTAATCTTTCAGTAAAATTAAGTAAACAACTTATATGAAATACTTGAGGATGATCAATAGTAGCATTTAAATTATTAATTTGATTTTGATTTAATGCTTTATCTGCTTTATAAAAATCTATAATATCATTTTTTAATTCCTTATTAAAATTTTTCTTTTTGATATTTTTATACCAAGTATTAATAATTTTTTAATTTCTAATGCAGTTGGTCTTTTTGATGAATCTATATTCCAACATTTATTCATTAAATTTATATAACATTGTGAAATATTTTTAATAATATGAGGTCGTTTACCTTTATAAATATCTAAACTAAGTTGAAAATCATAAGATTCATTATTAAATGAAATAACTCCTGATATTAATTCCCACATAATCATAGAAAAACTATATATATCACTAGCTAAAGTATAAGATTGACCTCTTAAAACTTCAGGAGCTACAAATGATAAAACACTATAAATTTCATTTTTTTTAGATGTTTGAAAATAATCTACAGGTTTACACAATCCTAAATCACTAATAGATAAAATCTTCTTTTTAATATTTAAAATATTACCATGATAAAAATTACAATGAATAAGATTTTTTTGATATATTTTCTCAAGTCCATTAATAATATTATTTAATTGTAATAATTTAATGATCCATTTATCCTTAACTATATTTGATAAATTTTTTCTCAAATTATTATTTTTTGCATATTTCATTACTATCATATAATCTAAATTATTTGGAT